GGGTGCCTGCCTCACATTGTATCCTGGAAGTGTGTAACTTTTTGAAAAAACAGGGGCTTACATTAAATTTGCCTTGAGTCTCAGAGGAGAGTTTGGACTTGGACTATTGAGCAATGTGAGAATAGTTGACTTTGGGACTCCTGGTGATGGAAAGAATGGATTTTGCTCTGTGAGATGTATAAATATTGGGGATCAGGGGCAAAAATATGATGGCTTTAATATGAATGTTGTCCCCCAAAAGACCATGTGTTAAAGGCTTGGTCCCCAGGTTGGCTCAATTAGCTCAATTAGAAGGTGCTCTGAGTCTTCAGGTGGTAGGGCTTTATAGGGGGTTCTTTATTAATTGGGGTGTACCCCAAAGTTGATCAAGGGATCCATGCCCATCCTCAGTCTCTGTTCTTTTTCTCCCTCCCCGCCCCCCTCTCTTTCTGCTTCCTGACCCATGATGTAAAATGTTTGCTATGACATGAACATTGCCTTAAGATACCCTTACAATCTCACAGAAGCCCAAAAGCAAAGGAGCTGCCCAATTGTGAGCTGGAGCCCCAGAAGTATGAACTAAATAACCTCTTTACCATATTTATAATTGTCTTAGGCATTTCACTTTAGTGGTAGAAAACTGAATGATACAATGAGCGAATTAAAAATGTTAAGCAGTTATTATCCATGTTGTTCTGATTTTCAATAATGGTTACGTATCCAGCCCACAAACAAGCCAGACACCCTGCTAACATCTAAATCATCAAGACAGACACCATTTAGCTCCATCAGGAACCCAACACAACTGCATGATGACTGCGGTGTTTCTGTTAAGGGATGGATCACTACAACATACGACTCTTGTCCATCTACACTATCTACACTGTGATTTATTATAGTCAATGGCTAAAGATTATTGTTACCTCATTCTTTGCACTATTAGTGAAGTACACGGTAGGATGGAGTAGCCATTGCATGAACCTGGTTTCTCACTACCAGGAGTCTCACTGTTCTGACAGGTGACACAACAGGTTCAAAAAGCTACCCAATGTGAAATATTTGAATAACAGAGATAATACTAAATTTCATACTTTCAATTTTCCATCCAAGTTAATCCAACATAATGAATATTGATTTTAAATCTAAAATTTTCATTCTACTATTTCACTCCAGGATTTTAAAATAAGCATAGTTTTTAGTTTAAATCATAGAGTGTGTGCCCTCTTTCATGTGGTACCTACATCCCTTTTCTAACAGTGGGTAAAAAAGCCCTAAGTTTCTATTTTCCCAAAATGTTACCCAAAAATAAGAATTGAAACAAGAATAAAATAAGAAGTAAGAAAAGATGAATCCTAACCAATTTTATTGACTTTTAAAATATCACTGGACTTTTACTTATGGGAATGGTAGATTATGTTATTTAGGCTAAGCTATTCTCCAGAGTACAACTAGTCATAGGCTGAAAATTTCTATCAATATGATGACATCTGAGAGCTATTAACACAGTGAGGAATTAGAGGGATACAAGCCAGGAAAGGAAAGAAGTCTTGCGAGGCAGAGCCCAGGGTCTGGAACCACATTTCCTTTACCTACAGACACCTACAAACTCTAAAGACCCAAGGGGCTGAGTAGAACATTTCACAGGCTTGTGGGGCCAGGGAACAAAAGTTAGGATTCTGTGGGTGCAGAGGAAGAGAAGTCCTGGTAAACACCACAGGCTTTGGTTTGAAATTCTAAAGCCTACATCGTCAATCTCTCTACCCCAGGATAAAGTAAATCATAAATAGGAAAAAGAAAATGGAGCATCTGTGGTTAAAATCCAGATTTGAATATTGCATTACTGATCTGATTCAGATCAACAAGCATTGCTAGTCCTGAACTCTAACTGTGAAGTGGAGTAATAAAAAGGATAAAAGAATCAAAGTCAAGATTACCACATTGTATGCAAAATTTATTTTGAAAGTTAAATTTATGTGTGCTGTAAATTCAAATACACAACAATCATAGGACACAGGAAGTGAATAGATGATAATAAAATATTCCAAAGTAACTAAACTAGCAAAGTGGTAAAATATTAACTAATTTTAGGAAGTAAATAACATTACATTGATGAAAATAATAACGTTAAGATGAAGGAAAAAGACAAATAAAAACACTCACCCCGAGGAACCTGATCAGGCCCTACTATGTCCTGAAAACATGACCTCACTGGCTAGGAAACATTAAAAGAAGAAACACAGGGAAGATGTAGCATTTGTAAATATTTAGGCAGGTGATAGGACATTCTCTAAATTATGAATCCAATGATATTATATAAAAAAGATATTAAAATGTATAATTTTGGTGGAGAATTTTATTAACATACCTGTGTGAATGATAGAAAAAGCAAATTGCTGAATATGTATTAGATGTGCACAACACAATTAATAAAAGTGACCTAACTGATGTATTTAGAATTCAATTTTTAACTCCAGAACCAGAATTTTCTTCCAATAAACATGGAAATGATGTTTATCCATAAAACAGTGTGAACAAATTTCAAAAGAGTGAAAACACACAAAATATTTTTGCTGACACAATGGAATTCAGTCAAGACAATGCTATTCCTGGCAAATCCCCCACTCTACCTGGAAATTTAGAAATACAATTGTACATGTCATAATGAACAATTAGAAAATATATTGAACTGACAAAGAACGAAGTATATCAAGCTTACTGACAAGCACTAAAGCCCTGTTTAATGGAATTTTTAGCCTTTAAATAAATCAAATGTGGGAGAATGAGGTACCTATGAATTTCCACCAAGACATAAGAACAAGGAAAGCAAATTAAACCTGAAATATGTAGAAGAAAAAAATGAAAATAAATTGCACAATTTGGGTGACTTGTACAAAATATTTGAAACTTATCAAGCCTAACAAAAAGTAAATTCTGAATATACAATAAGAAGACCTAGAAAGATTCTTAAAAACTCTCCACAAAACAGTCTAGATGCCCTTCGAGACACACACACACACACACACACACAGAGTGAACTATTACTCAGCCTTAAAGAAGAATTAAATTATGGCATTTACAGGTAAATGGACGGAGTTGGAGAATATTATGCTAAGTGAATAAGCCAATCCCCCCAAAACAAAGGCGAAATGTGTTCTCTGATAAGTGGATGTTGATCCATAATGGGGGGGGGCAAGGAAAGAGTGGAAAAACTTTAGATTAAGCAGAGGGAGGGGATGTGTTGGGGAGGATTGTGGAATGAGGTGGAGATTATTATCCCTATGTATGGATACGATTGCACAAATGGTGGAACTCTACATCATGTTCAACAAGAGAAATGAGAAGTTTTGCTCCATTTGGGTAAAAAATTAAATTAAATTAATAAAAAATATAACTGGCCACAAACCCCAGTTCGGGAAGCTGAGGCAGGAGGATCACAAGTTCGAAGCCAGCCTCAGCAACTTAATGAGGCCCTAAGTAATTTAAGGAGACCCAGACCCAAAAAGCAGGGGGATGGTGCTGGGGATGTGCCTCTTGGGTTCAAACTCTGGTGAAAAAAAAATAGTCACAAAATTTGATACTTTTCTATTAAAGAAAAAAACAACCTTCCAACACATGACTGCCGGGGTCCAGCCCCAGCAGGGATCCAGGGGTCCTGAAGGATGAGTGGCATCGGCAAAAGAAGAGATGGAACGGCAGGTTGCAGGTTATGAGCAGCCTCCAGAGATCTGCTTCCCTGGAGGGGCCTTTAGTTTTATACCTAAAACTAAAGGTGTTTTTTTCAGGTAGTTAATGGATAGCCTCAAAGCCCAAAACTTCTTTGATTTACATGATTTTCAAGAGTTACAATCTCTTCTGACATATATTGATTAACTAAGATATTGAGTACATTGTTTAAGATATTTTCCTATAACCTTTGCCAATCATGATTAATCTTTTACATTTTCACCTCAATCACTGGTTACTAGACTATGCAACTAGACTATGTCTCCTGACTTACTATTAATGTTTTAACTTTAAAGCATACCTATAATTATTTCATTGACCTTTAACTTTAAACATCCCTATGGTTATTGGAAAGCTTTCTTACTTCTAAATTAAAGTCCCAATAAAACACACTTAAAATAGTGAAAGTTTATTACTTAAAAGGCTGGTACTCTGAAGTGCCTCTAAAATATATCCATATTAATTCTACATTAATTTCCAAGGTAATTTCCTTTTTTCATATGACCCATTTAACTGCTTTCTTACAGAGTTTCCTTGATCCTCGGTCAAAGCACACCAATTCTTATGTCTTTGTAATCTTTAACTAAAGGGCAGGCTCTGCACCTCAACCCATTTGCCATTGATATTAACTATGTGTTGTCCATTTCCATCATGAATTTCTGTGTAAGGCAAAGGAGGGTCTGTTGGTGGGGGGAGTGTATGTTGCACAGGTTGTGGCTTTATTTTATTTTATTTTTTTTGGCGGACACAACATCTTTGTTTGTATGTGGTGCTGAGGATCGAACTCAGGCCGCACGCATGCCAGGAGAGCATGCTTACCGCTTGAGCCACATCCCCAGCCCGGTTGTGGCTTTAGAATGGGAAGCTTAGTGTAAATTGTTAAGCTTTTCTCAGGAACCTTGATTTGCAATCTTTTCCCCATGAATTTCTTGAGAAATAATAACACTATTGTTTGTATCCTGAGAGATATTGAAACGCACCTTGGGGCATGTCTTAATTGTATCCTTAGTCTCATTCTGGGAATTTTCCTGCAACCCCAGGCAACATGTACTTTTATTATTCACTGATGTATGCCCTACTCTCCATATCTTGAGTATCATAAACAAAACACTTAACATTCCCCACGGTTCCGGTTCCCAGATGGTGAGGCCCTACCTCAGCATCCGCCACCCTGTGACCCTGTCAGACAGCGGGTGCAGGAACGCCTTCACCACATGACTGCACTGGTGAATTCTGCTAAATCTTACACAAAACAATGTAAATGAAAATAAGCACAAATAAAATGTCACACACTCTGGAAAAAAAAAAAAAAGAACCATTTTTAATCTCATTTTGTGTAGTAAAAAAAATCCTTCATACCAAAATCTGAACAGAACACTCTAAGAATTAAGTGAACATAAATGTAAAACCCAAAACAAAACATTTAAAAACTGAAGCCATGTGTATATATTACATGCAAAACAGGTAAGTTACGGACACATAATTTTGTTCTGCCATTTGAAGATCATTAAGAGTATGTCACATAAAAAATATATAAACTCTCAAGAAATTCAGAATATGTTTCTGATGAATGATGAAATATGGGTGGGTACTACCTTTGATAGCATCTCAAAATAAATTCACAGTTCTTAATTGTTTTTCTGCTTGTATATAAATTATATATATGGGGAAATGCTTTGATCAACATCAATGCTAACTTGATGAAATGTATCAAGGTTGACTCCTGGGATGACATCCTGTTTCTGAACTTCTTGGCACTTATTTCAGATGGGAGAGAAGACATGATGAGAGTTCACTGGGTGTCCTGATACGACCTGTCAAGAAAGCCAGAAGAAAAAGCCAGTTGTGTCTAAGACATGTGTGTATGTCCTCACTTATAGGAGAACCATTCACAATAGCCAAAAGTGGAAATGGTCCAACATCCAGTAATGAATAAATGGCTGAAAAAATGTGTTGTCTACACATGGAATGGAATGATATGAAATATTATGCCTCCTAAAGAAAGAAGGAAATTCTGATAGGCTACAACAGAATTGAACACTTATTGCTAAGTGAGATAAACCAGTAACAAAATGACAATTACTGCATGTTTCAGATGGAAGAGTTACACAGGATAGTCAAATTCCAAGAGATGGAAAGTGGAAGGGCCACCAACCAGCGGGGAGGAAGGGAACAGAGAAGTGGTTTTTCTTTTTACACCTTTATTTTATTTATTTATTTTTATGTAGTGCTGAGGATCGAACACAGCACCTCACATGTGTTGGCAAGCCCTCTACCACTGAGCCATAACCCCTAACCCCAGAGAAGTGTTTTTATGTGAAAAGTGAGTTTCCACTTTGCAAGATGAAAAAGGTTTGGGAGAAAGATGATGGTGGTGGATGCAAAGAATGGAAATGCGTTTAACACACTCAAAAATGGTAAAGATGGTACATTTTGTGTGATCTTTTCCACAATTTTTAAAATTAATTCTAAGCAGGTAGCAGGAGTGAAGAGGAAGTTCTGGTGGAAAGAGGAGGTTTTGTGCTACACGTAGATGGCAGGAGAAAACAGTGGGAGCACCCACAGAGAAGGAAGACTAAGGAAATATACTCACCTGCGCCTCCAAAACCACAATGCAAGCCCCAGAAAAATGAGCGCACAGGGCACTATAATTGCCAAAATGATCAAGCCAACAGAGAGGGAGTGTCCTGTTAATGGGGAGCGAGCACAGGGGATAATGTCCCTTCAAGTCCCGTACATTCACCCCTTCCCTTCCCTTGTGTAACTCCACAGCCTTCATTCTCTAAAGTCCCTTTGTCCACTCTTCTCTCCTGCTCCCTGTCCCCAGCCCCCCACCAACCATTCTCTTTTCCCCTCAACCTTCCAATCCTCCCTCTGTGCTTGAGCACCACCTCCCCCATCTGCACCCCTTTCTCACCCCAATAGAGGACGAAGTCCTGCCCTCCTAGGCTGCTGTGCTTCACCCTGCAGGCCAGGCCAGCTGTGTCCTCAGCTGCCACATCTAGGACTGCTCTGAGATACCACGTGCCATCTGCATTGGGCAGGAAGTCACTTCTCTGGGTTCCCTCCTGCTCCTGCTCACCTCGAATCCACATCACCCACATGTGTTTGGGGTAGAAGCCAGACACATGGCACACCAGCAGCAGACGGCCAGGCCCAGGACTGGGACCACTGGACAGCCAGGCCTCAGGCTTCACTGGGACAGGAAAGGGAAGGAAGGAAGGGTGTCACATTATGACACTAACCTAGAGCACAGGGACCCATACACCCACTTCTATCTCTACTCATTTGGAAATGAAAACAGTTACCCATGAAGCCCCCCTTCTTCTTTGGGTACACTCCTTCTCTGGGGCTGAAGAGGCAGGGACAGTGACACCCAGCAGGACCTACCTTGCCTCTGAAGGTCTGCCTTCCCTGCTTCCAGGACGCTCAGGAGATATTGGGGGCAGGTTTCTAACAGCAGCTTCTCCACTGTTTCGCAGATACCTTTGTACTTCGTGATCACTGTGCAGAATTTCTGTGCCCTGAGTTCACCTTTTGGGGAGGGCCAAGCTGACTTGAAGCTTATAAAATCCATTCCTTTTAAAGACCCCCTCAGGAAGCCCATGATGGTTCCCCCTGTGCGCAGCTCACAGCCTGCTAAGCCCTGGATCTCAAAAGGGTCTGTGCAGAAGGAAAACAGAAAAGTTACTAAGTAGCAAACATGAAAGAAAGGGATGTGGGGAGGACCCAGGATGTTGATTCCCTGGGAGGATAAAAATCTGGAAGGTGCCATGTGCAGCCTGAATAATTACAGCATTGAGAGACTTTCAGGAAGAAAGCACTGAGGGGAGGTATGGATATTATGAACAGGGTATGAATCCGTGTATAGAGTGGGTATAGGAGAGAGGAGAGGCAGAGGGTAAGGAAGAGTGTCCTGCAGTCACCAGCACAGCTTTCAAAGGAAACCAGAGCTTCACATGGAGAGGAAAAGGCTGAATGGATGATGAGAATAGTAGGCACATTTTTATGTCTCTCAGGAACAAAGAGGAAAAGAAGGAGCAAGTTTCACAGGAGACACAGGGCTGGTCACGGAGCAGAGCATACCCATCAGATCAGGTGCACATGCAACAACATCTGGAGGTGTGGAGTCAGAGCTAGAGCCTACTCTAGAGAAGAGTGTGATTGCAGCTTAGTAAATAAGGGAGGAGGGGGAAGGACCTCAGGGAGCAGTGCCCTGGAGCAGGAGATAATAAGTCAATAGCGACCTTTCAGGTCTGAGGGCTGCACTTACATTTCAACTTGAACTCACTGACATGATCCTGCACTTCACTGGTGAATACAGAGAAGTAATTGCGGAAGATCTCCTCCACCATCTGAATGGCCTCATCACTGAAGTTGCCCTTGGCCCAGGGTTTTAGGAAGATGGCAGTGCCTGTGTCACTATCCCAGCCAAAAACCTGCACATCATCCAACCAGCCTGAGCAGTGGTTCTGTGTCCAGGTGCTGTTGACAAAGGATGAGATTTGGATGAGGTGGAATGTGGTCGGCCCCTGGGAGTCTGTGAAGAAGGAAGGAAAGAGAGTGAAGAGAAAGGGAGAGGCAGGAAGGAAAGAGAAATCATGTGTACTGACATGCATAATACCTGACACACCTGAGATCCCCAGACCTCAGGCTGCAGCCCCATCTCCAGCAGATGGAACAGGGCTGGAGTCAGGAGGGGGCAGGACCTCAGAGTCCAGGTGCACCTGGGCAAGGCACCCTGCCTTCTATCAGAAACTCTGCACCAGTTTATGAGCTGCCCGAGCTCTTCTTACCTTCCTGATTGTCACCACCTGGGAAGAAAATTGCTAGCAATACAAGTAGCAGGACCAGCTTTGCACTGAGAGAGGACTCTTGACTTTCAGCTGATATTTGAACTCTCATTTCAGAAACCCTGTATGTCAGCACTCGGTAGTGACTTCCTCTCTTCCAACTGACAAATCTCTTCCTCATACCAAGTGTATAATGGAGAAGTACAGTGCCTCCCACAGCCCTGGGGACTCCTACTCCACCTCTCATTTCCCCTGTACCCCTGACTCTAGATTTAGTCTCACCTCCAAAGTTTCTAGCTTCCCCTTAGGTCCTCAGGATCCTTGAGATGAAATCAGAAAAATCCCTTTGTGATTCTGAATGGTCTCTTCATCTCCCTAAGCCTTTATCTATAAATTAAGGGGGTAACAATAGGCCATTTCTCAGCTGCTCCTGTGTTGGGAAGGGTCTTTCTGGTTGATCCAGCCTCCTTCCATTCCATGTGCCTGTATTCTCTGGTATTGTTGTTATTCCTTCCCAGGATTATTAGTGTCTCCTTTTTCTTGTGTCAAATCCCTCGTCTGGTTCCCCTAGTTCACATTCTTACTTCAATCTTGATTTCAACTTTGTCAAACTCTTTGAATTTCCCACTGTAACTGTAAAATCAGACAATCTACCAGAGTCCTGGGAGAAAAATCAATAGATGTAATATAGATGACTAGACAAGACCACAGAGAAAATGAAGAAAAATCTCGCTCTTACTTTACTTTCCCTATTTTATTTACCAAAATAGAATACAAAGAAATGAACACAAAACCACTGATCTTGAAAGATTTCTTTCAGTTGAGTCAAGTAAAAATGTCATTAACGCCTATGATGGAAGTGGAAAGATGACAGGTGATACAGTATATAGAAACCCTGGACCAAAGCAAAACATAAAACACTGTGAGGCGAGGGAGGCTTTCTCTGTTACTCCGACCCTTAATGGTTTGTTGGTATTATTGTTTCCTTTTTGAACACTAGGAACTTCAGTGGTTGCTTTTGTTCTTTCTCTACAAGTGTATTTTACCCTATCCTCAGTCCTGGACCTGTACGTGAAGGCAGACAGGCAAACACACTAAGTGTCGGAGTCACAGCAGTAGCAAGGGAGAGGAGAACGAAGAGAACATACTGAGGGAGAGAGAATCATGTACCAAGAGGCTAAGTGCATTTGGAAGCCTTTGTTCTCTTCTATGCCACATCCTGTGTGTCTTCTTATGAGAAATGTTTGTTCAGACCATTTTCCCGGCTTTAACTGGATTATTGATGTTCTTGAATTTTCACGTTGGAATTTCATACATATTTTAGATATTAAGTCCCTTTCAGATGAACAGTTGGCAAATGTTTTCTCCTGCAGGATGTCTCTTCAAGTTATTTTCTTTGCTGGGTAGAAACTTCTTATTATGATAGAATCCTGTGTGTCAATTTTGGTTTTTGTTGACTGTGCTTTTGGCTTCCCATGCAAAAAATTATTGCCTTTACTAATGTCTTCATGGTCCCCCCCCTATATTTTATTCTAGCTGTTTCATACTTTCAGGTATTATATTTAGGCTTTTGATGCATTTTGTGTGTTTCTTTTTATTAAGGTGTGAGATTTGAGTGAAGTTTTCATTGTCTATATATGGATCTCCATTTTCTCCAGTACTGATTATCAAAGAGGCTGTCTTTTCTCAAATGCGTGGTTTGCTGCCTTTCATGAGACTCAGTTGACTGTAGATACATCTTTGTACTTCTGGGATCTCTATCCAATGCATCTTGCTCGTGGCCCACGCAGGTGATGAATCTGAGTTTCCCTGCATGGAGTGGGCTGGCTGAGAAATACGGTGAAAAATCACACCACTCAGAAAATTGTTTTAAATAGCTGGGGCAGGATGGCTCTTTGACCTTAAGGGTTGAGCTTCCAGGCTGGAAAGAGAGAGCAAGAGCTGTGTTTGCTTTATTTTTATGGGGGAACTTCAAAGGTTTTCTACAGAATGTTCTTAGAAAATTAAGGTAGGAGGTGAGCTGTCCAGTTCCCAATGGGTCAGGCCCAAGTCCGGAGCTAGGAGATCAATCTTCCTACCCAGAGAAGACTGAAGTCACCTGTGTTGCATAATCCATTCAGTGGGAGGGGTCACAAAATAGCTTGCAATGCCAGACCAAAATCTCCTTGGCTCAAGGCTGGTTGAAGACACTAATTAGCTCCAGAGTGGCTTCCCACACCAACTTATGGAGTGTGTCCTTATTAAGATGACCTCTCTTAGATCAGTTCTCATTCTACTTTCAGTCCATTTGTCTGAAAAAAATATTGAGGGACTTTTATGCATATGATCAAAGATCATTTATATAAGAGGTTACATTAGGATTTATTGTTTTAGATAGAATTTCATATCTGAGGATATTGCTAAATTGCCCAGACTTGGTTTAGAGAGAAATACAACTTATGGGAAAGAGAAAAGGTTGTTAGTGGCATTTTCCCCAATGATCAACGGATCCACTTCTCATAACATGTCCTATTATTTCCAAGGAAGCTCTTTCACCAGGTCGTGAACAAAAGGTTAATTAACAACATTAGTTAATTTCTACTTATTATCATTATAAATAATAATAATAAATTCCCCACAATGGTTTGCCAGTCCTCTATTTTGCAACACTTGGGTCTATGTGCTTTACTTTCACAAGCCTGATCACAGTTCAGACTGTCATGAGTTGTTCCAGACCCAGGGTTTGATGATCAGTTGTGCCTTTGTTGATTCTGCTGTGAGCCAGCTATGAGATCATCAGAACAAAGTCAAGGAAGAAGAGTGACAAATAAACCTACAGTCAAGATCACAGCAATTTAAAAAGTTTTTATGTTTCATGTAATATTTTCAGGCACCCAGTGTTCAGCTTACTCTGTGTACTTCAGGTTCACTTGTGTGAACAGATTTCAAAAACCCAGAGGTAAGGGGTTGCACTTGGATGTGAGAGGGATTGATATGAGTGCCTACAAGGTCTGTGCACACTCGAACAGAGATGCATTGACAAGCAAGAGGCACCAGGGACAGGCCCAGCGCTTGCCTGTCCAAGACACACTCATACCACTGTTGCTACCACCAGGTGAACATACCAGCTTGGCTTCAAACTTGGCTCAGGGAACCAACACATCTCCAAAGATGCGAACAAGATATCAGCTAAAGAAACACTCAGCACTTTCTTTTCACAGATTACCACCTTCTGTTCCATGAGGACTCCTCTCTCCATGAATGACCATTTTGCCAAACATAACCTGAGTAGGAAAAATATTTCAAAATTCACATTCTTAACTATCCTAATCAAGGGTGCCCAGGACACAGGGCCACAACAAAGTTTTGCACTAATAAAATGTCCTGTGAAAATAGAAATTAATAAGTAATTAAGGAACCCAGTTTTCAGAGTCCCCAATAAATAATATGTTGATAAATATCCCAAAATACTGCCCCTAAAGCAAAGGAGATGATCATCTCCATTTATGTAGAAAGAGCATTTAACAAAGTCACAAAGTTTATCTTGAAAGCAACTCTCTCAATAGTAAGATATAGAAAGGAATTTCCTCAACATAATAAAAGACAACTATTAAAATCTAACATAATGAATGTGGAAAAATTGAACAAGTAACTCCAAGAAATCTACTACAAGACAAGGATGCCCCCACCTACCACTTCTATTGAGCACATCACTAGAAATCCTAGCAAAACCAATCAGACAAAAAAAAAAAAAAAAAAAAAAAAGAAGAAAAGAAAATAAATAAAAACACCTATTTGAAGGGAAAGTCTAAAATCATCACTGCTTTAACATGTGATCCTGTAGATAGAGGATCTCAAACATTAATAACAAATAAATGAATTCAGTGAAACTGCAGAATACAAAGCATAGAAACAATGAGCATTTCTATATACAAACAACAGCCTACCCACACAAAAAATAAAAAAAAAATCTCATGTATCATAGTATTAAAAATAAAATATTTAGGAAAAAATTTAAACAGGATGTAAATGATATGTATGCTAAATACCATGAATGTTGACTAAATAAAGAGGACTCAAGCAAATAGAAAGATTCCCTTGCTCATGTTAAAAATATTGTTAAAACTTCAATATTACTCAAAGTGATATACAGATTCTAATCAATACCTATCAAGCAAATGACCTAGAATAGGCAAAAACAAATAATTGTGCAGAAGAAAAATAGTCAGAGCCATCACCCCACCTGATTTTAAATGTTTGAGGAGATGGATATGTTTTACCTGATTATACCATGCTTGTATGCATTGAAACATCACGTGGTACTCCATTAATATGTACAACTTTTCTATTTTTAATGTGTCAGTGAAAAAATGAATATAATTTAAATGAATAAATAAAATAATATGGCAAAGCTCCATAGTAATTGAAAGTGCAATTAGCATAAAAAAGGCACACACCAGAGGGACAGAATGAGGAGCCCAGAAATGAACTCAAACATATTTGTTAAACTAATTTTCAGCATGAGTGTCAAGACTATGTAATGGGGAAATGATAGTCTCTTTAATAAATGGTACCGGAAAAACTGCATTTTCACAGGCACAATGGTTAACTGGACACATATTTTGCCATACACTAAAGTCAATTCTAAATCGATTAAAGATATAATGTCTACAACCATGAAATTCCTAGAAGAAAAGATAAGGGAATTTGTGAATATCACCCCCAAAACTCAATTTCCAAGAACAAAGATAAATGAACAAAACTATACAAACTCACATAACTACAGAAACACCAATATCCAGATTTAAAAATGGACAAAGACTTGAATGATAGAAATGGCCAGTAGATGTATGAAAAGATGCCCCCAAATCACTAGTCATCAGGGAAGTGAAAATTGAAACTACAAGGAGACAGCACCTCATACCTTTTAGAGGGGATATTATCAGAAAGACAAGGGATAGCAACATTATTGAAGGTGTGCAAAAATGAGAAGCCCTATGCCTGGTTGGCAGGAATATCTCTTGGAGCAGCCATTATGGAATACAGTATGGAGGTTCCTAGATAAATTTAAAAGAGAATTGGCATAGGACCAGCTTCCAACTATATACCTAAAGGAGATGAAATCAGTATCTTATAAAGTTATCTGCAGTCTCATATTCATTGCACAATT